TAGTCGAGCAGTCTCGACTAGAGTCTTCTTACTTGTTTTAAACTCAAATACGTACGAATGTCACATTCGCCACTAGAGAATTGCGCATATACAGATGACTTTCTGAATTGCAGGTATAGATGATCTATTACAAATATAACTAACCATGCAATGCGGAAATTTTTTTCGCACTTCTTTAGATTCCAAAGTTTCTGACTTTTCAATCATAATTAATAAATGATAGTGATAGTGATATGAACAGTGTTTTCCTTCGCTTTATACAAACATTAACAAATCAAATAAAAGAAATGTATCTTGCATAATAATAATGTAATGGAAAAGGAGGTAAGCAGATTAAAAAGATATTAATACATACTTCTCCTAGATTGCCAATGCTTCGGGAATGCTGTGTATGAGTATCTCTTGGAAGCGATAGGCTAAAAGTGTGGATGAAACTTCCTACATTTTTCGCTTTGCCACCATAGAACAGCAAGCTATCGCCTTCACACTTAGAACGATATTCTTCCGAACTTGAGTCGTCACCCGTAATAAGGCCTTTAATTTTATCATCCTTCTCATTGGCAAGATCTTGTTCGGGTGTCCAATTGTTAAGAATCTTGTTCGGCTTGGCAAGCTGTTTCATTTGTGAAGTTCGAGTATACTTTATAGGCATCTCACTGGTTGTCGTCTTCCAACTATTAAGAGTATTTAATTTCTTTGACTTTTCTATGTGCTCTTGCTGCTCAATCAAGGATCGCCAGGCTAAAGTTGGACTAAACGAAGGTGTATCCATCTGCCGGCGTGGCAAGGTAGGCCGAATACGCACAAGAAGCCCATTGTCATTTAAACTCTCTTCCAGACACGAGCTTTCCCTATAATCAGTGTCATAGTTGGAAACTTCGTCACTTGGCAGTTTTTCTTCAGCTAAAAACATTTTTCTTTCAAGGTATAGAAATTCGTTTTAATTGAAATAAACATAAAAACTTACCAACATCAATGGAGTGAATATTAACAACTTCGGTTTCCATGCCAAAATAAAATGTTCGTTGGCATTTATTTGCTTGAACTGAACCCATTCCAGTATCCATATTTTCTTTTTGAGGTGAAGTCTTCTGTTCAAATTTACTATTTAAAATCTGATTTTTATCCCTTTGATAATCACTTACTTTGCTAATCGGAGGAGTTGCCTTAATTTCAGGCTGAATCGATCTTTGACTTCTTAGCAAAATTGCATCCGAGCTCTTTTCACGCCGATAGGTGAATTTGGGACATTCATGAGAATTGCGTTGGCCGTTAGTTTCATTAACACTTTTACGAATGACATGGTCCCTGTTTATTAGGAACTCAGTTTGTTTCGGCACTGAGTTCGGGGTTTGTTTGCTAAATTTACGGTCTGCATTTTTAGCGTAATGTATGGACTTCGAACTAGGTGCGTTTCGCAAAATCTCCGTATTGTTTTTTATGAGTGGTGCAGCTGCTGTGACTGCTTGGGGTGCCTCGGGAGCTCTTCTCTTTTTCGAATACTTGATCCGATTATTCGCTCTCAATGGCGGTTCTTGTATGTTTGTTTTGACTGCGGGTTGTTGATTAAGGCTATTTATGAGTTCCGGCTCCGAATACGTGTGTCTTTGCATTCGGGATAGATTTGAGTCATTTATATTTGACGCAGAGTCCTTCTGTTTCGCTTTTATATGAAGCAATGTTTGCGATCGCGTAAATTCGGGCTTCGTACCAGTTAATTCACTTGAGCCTGAGCTCCTGTCGTGAACAGTTTCAAGCATGAATGTTTTGGATTGTTGACTAAGTAAATTGGACACATTTTGAAGTTGGGTTTCATTTTGTTTTCGGCCACTTATCGTACCTCCGGAATTTAAAATTGCACCATTCGTTGTAGCTCGGAGATGCAGCCGCTTATCCACCTCCGGCAGCACTTTCAGTGCGCTTTCTATTGGAGAGCTTGATTCTGTCTTTAAAAGTGCAGATGGGTATGATCTTCTCCATTCTGTGGTTAAGCTTCGCTGCGGGCTACTGGGGATAGACCTCAACACAGATCTACTCCATTCAAACTGACGGCGTGAGTCCTGGCATCGGTGTTGAAATCGTGTTTGGAATTGAGCATTTCGATCGATGCTCGATCTTTCGCTATTAATATGATGAGCACTACCAGAGTTTCCCATTTTCAATAAATCTGTTAATGATTACTATTTAGTTCAATTATATATCTGAAAGAACATAAATAAAATTTGTTATACTTACAAAGTTTACATTATATGAACTTGATGGTGTACTGATGTTCAGATCTGCAGTTACATAAGAGGCAAACAGAATTTTAATTTTTTAATAAATGTAAAACTATTAAAATGTAAATCTATTTAAAGAAGATGAGAGTGATCGACCGAAAATTAAAGTAAGTGCAGAGGAGAAGCAAGAAGAGGCGGCTAAGCCAAGAAAGTGGGAGTGGGAATCGACACGTACATGGATTAAGGACAGAAAATACCTATTCAGGGAATGAAAAAATTCAAAACCAACAAAAAATTGCTAATATTATAGAATTATTTTCGCTTCAAAATACAAAAATGGAAATTGGCTGAGTCAATCTAATCCCATATGTTAGCCATATCTAAAGAGGTCGATCACAGAAACTAAATAATTAGAAGGGAGCAATTAATTTCGTTATCAAACCTTTTTTGTACTACTATTAAAACATATTAAAACAAATATGAAAGCTCTAGTCGAGACTGCTCGACTACGAAATCCCCTGAAACCTGCTAAGAATTGATATTTCACTATAATTCTTCACGTCTTTCTGCTTACACAAGATCCACACATACAGAGAAAAATAAGGATGCAAGCATAAACACCCATTTGCTGCATTGGCTTACTATGGAAACTTAACTGGATATAGTGGTGGGGAGTCTACATTTAACATTTACAGACTCTGCCTGTAAAGGTGTAAGAGACATACATAATTAACTAACTTGTTTTCAATAAGGGTTTTAATCGATAACAAAATATCAGGAGTAGTTATCGATTTTTGGATTTACATCTTCTGAGATCGACGCGTTCATACAAACGGACATACGGACAAACGGACGGATGGATAGACAGACGAACAGGACTAAATCGACTTAGCTCGTCGCCCTGATCCAGAATATATGTACTTGGCGGGGTCTGCGAAGCCTCCTTCTGCCTGTTACATACTTTTAACAAAACCATTATACCCTGACTTCCCATTGAAAATCTGTTCAGGGTATTAAAAAACACAAGTCAGACGAATCAGTTCGTGTGTTGCGTATTATCATTTATCATTTATAATTTATAATTTTTATGTTATTTCCGTTAACTTTTTGAGTTCTTAGTTTATGATATTATGATTTACAGTAGCACGTGAATCACATCAAAACTTTTAATTCTTCTTTAACTTACACTTACCAAATCAAGTCTATACTATGAGCATTTCGATATTACTCTAATATTTTTTAGATGATTCTCTCAATCGATAAAGTTCTTTGGCAAATAAATTTCGAGCACTGACTTAAAAATGACCGACTTTCGTTAGAAACGTTGCATACATGTACGTTAAACGCGTTAGAAGTAGGGATTCACGATTTTATTATTCTGATAAAATATTACTACTGACAAAAATAGGCTCATTATTAATTAATCAGGACTTTGCTGTGTCTGTATGATCGAGCTTTTGGAACCGACCAAATTGTTTTCAAATAATCGTTAGCTCCTCCGATATATATAAGGTCATAACTCACTTCGTTTAAGATGCACTTCTTGTATTTACATTGGTATATTTCAGACAATTTTATATGTATGTATACATTTGATCATATTGAAATTAGATTTGTAATTGAACAGTTAGCCTAATTTTTTTCTAACTGACTAACTCTATTAAAATGACCGTAATTACAATCGAATTATGACTTTTCATTTCTAGTTAGGGTATCTATGTATATCTTTTCCCAACTAAAGCTTTCATACTTGTTTATAAATTAGTTTGTCATTTTTTTCAGCTTTCTCTAATATTTTATAGCCGAGTTTTCATGAAAGCTTTGATTTGATGATGATATTATATTATATTTTTTGGTCTCTCGAATATCTTAAGGATGATAACGAAGAAGTGAACACATATAATTTGGTACATTGTATAAAGCCGAGATTAATAGATTCAAGTGGAAAATCATGGGATGATATAATAAAATTATATCAGCTATATCTTTAGAGCTTGAGTCATCAAATCTTAAATATTAATTCAAATGTATTTTAAAGAATTTCTATTTTTGTTGTAATTTTCCCCCTACCACTATATCTACCACCTCACCCCTAAATTTGTAAAAGGCTTATTTCAAATACTAGAGACTAGAGGTCTAATCACAATCTGAAAGTTTCATGAAGATAGTCAATCGACAAGAAATGTGTTTAACAAATTATGTTCCCTCTGCTTATGTGTCTGTGTGTGTGTTTCTTTTGTAAGCAGAAAGATGTGAAGAATTATTGGAGTATCAGTTCCTCAAAGGGTTCAGAGGATTTCGTAGTCGAGCAATCTTCACTAGAGCTTTCTTACTTGTTATTAACTTGATGCATTTTTAATAATTTCGAGGTCAAAGTCAACAAATAATTTTGTTTAATGTACTTATTCGCACGCTTTTTTGCTTATTTTCTGTTGGTTTACTTGATTTGTGTCAATGGAAAGAGCGTATGATCGTAGATTTATTTTTGTGCATGTATATACATACATAAATGAGCATGTATGTATGTTTGTGTGTACGTATGAATGTAAATACATATGTATGTATGTAAGATACAAAAAATTGTAAAAGCAAGAGTTAAACGAAAAAGCGTCGGTTCATGTCTGCACATCAGGTTAAATTTGAATGAAACTTAAACACTTGTATTGAAACTTTTTCACAAACTTTATTAACTACGTACGAAATTTCCTTAGTATTGTATTGATAGTAAACTTTCTTTTTAAAGAAAAATTAACATTTCTCTGTTAGAGTTATTTGTAAGGGCCACTCCATTTGTTTTCGCTATTGTATATAAATATGCGCACGACTGCCAAAATATGTACATACATTCATATGTTTGTACAAGCAACAAAATAAAATTGTTTTGACTGATTATTTGTGACAATGTATGGGCTTATATTTTAGTAATTTTTTATTCTAATTTTCCAAAGTATTGGTCGCTGTTTTCTTTTTTCCGCAGTCAACGTAGACAAGAAAGAAACACCGCAATGCGCACAGCCGCTTTCACAACATTGATCTCAGCAGTTTGAAACTTTACTTCCATTGTCATTGTAAAAGTAGAGAGTCAAAAGCTTCTTTTCGTGCTGCCGCCAGCAAAGCCGAGTCGCATATACATACATACATACATATATGTACGTATTTATTGTTGTTTGTTATGCGCTTGTGTATGCACATATGTATGTATGTTATGTACATGTACATGTTTGTGTTTAACCGGATCTTTTTCGCTCATATTGATTAAAGTACTCAGCTGGTATATAATGATATTCAGAAACATTCCTATGTATGTACATACATACATATATGTAAACAAAAACAAAACAATATATATATATA